TATTTCGGCCCATTGAATAATTAAATCTCTTGTGATAAAAGTAATAATTTTCCTTTTATCTGGATTTATTTTCATTCCGTTTTCCATAAACCACTTCCACAATACGTCAATATATCTTTGCAACTGATCAACTCATGTTGAATTAGATAAACGATCCAGTAGTTTGCGAAAAGTGTGAATAATTATCGAACGAATTTCGATATCATTGATATACCTAAGAAGATACATAAGAAAAATAAAGATTTTTTTCACAATTGCAGAATATAAATGAATTAATTTTTAACTTGGAAAACAAAAATATTATAAATTAATGTATCTAGTGTAGCATCGTGAAGAAGACGACAGGATATCATAACATATGTACATTTATTTACAAGTTATATATAAGGATACGAGGATTCCTAGCATGGTTAGAAGTACAGAGCATTTATGAAGAGTCATTCGCCTGGTGCGAATGTACCTGGTGTTGTCGTAAGGACTCGCGACCCTCTACTGGACAGCGATAGCAGTCTTCACTGTCTTATCATGAATGACCGAAACACAACACGTTCCAGCCCTCGACCGCCCTCCGTGCACTCACGTAATGCTAACATATGCGGGTCAAAAAACACCCATGCTGAAGAGGTACAGAAGAAGAAAAAGACTGCTCTTCCGCCTTTGAGAGAAAGTCAAGAGCCTTTGTTAAAGTTGGTCTTTGTAACCAGAAAGAAGGGCCGTTCTCCTCCCGCGCTGTTAACACTTGCTGATCTATTGTCTAATGAGATCTATTGTCTGCTACATTATACTAGGTACTTGACGTGATCACCTCAGCCGAGGAAGCTACGAATTATTTCGCGCAGATATTTACAGCTAGGAAACTCCGACATTGTATTTGGACCCATTTAATATTGAAGTCTTTCTTGTGTTCGAGGTTTGATAAAACTAGTGCTATAGTGTCAACATTTCGTAACAGGGCTTTGTGAAACGTTACTTAAGCTAGTGGTATCGCAAAAATTACTTTCTGACAAAAGTTAGTTTCCTGTTCTCTTCAATCGGGACTGGCTTAATGGTTTCACCCCACCCTCTTCTCAGCTACTATCTATCGAAGCACAAAACAACTACCAGGGCTTCTCGCGGTCCCTTAAGCTCTTCTGGGGATATTGCCAGTGGAGAGAACTTTCGCTTCCCCTGAATATCGCGTAGGTCTATCTCGGCACTGTGCCTTTATACATTTGCCCATGGCATCCCTTGTCCCCATCACAGCGTTCGTACCATTGTTCTAAGTGCAGGGTTCCAGTTTCTCAATTACACACACAATTTCCTGCCAGACTAAGAGATAATTCTCCTTATTCTTCGACGCCACTGCGGTGCCTCTGAACAGGAGGTCCTTGAGTTTGAGTCCTAACGATGGCAGGATTTTCGACACTGGCTCGTCAGCTAGGTTCGTGCAAGTCCATGGCTTAAAGATCAGTGCACGTGTTTCTGAAGACAGACATAATTTATTAAAAAACACACATTGAGATTATTGTTCATTTGAAAATTAACGTATATTAATGGAATTATTATCACAACACGAAACCATTTCACAGTCTGTTATAAAACGATTCGAACCAATGCATAGCCACAACGTAAGTGTTAAACTTCGAGGACAAATATTTCATCTAAATATTTAAAACTCTTAGAGTTTTGTTAAAAAAGGAAATTTGAAAACATGGAATACTATCGATAAAAGTACTGTTGTAAAAATTCGTGTTACATTACATTCATAGGTTTAACTATCGTCAAGGCAATTAATCATATCTTAAAAATGCACGTTAAGCCGCTAAGGCTAAATAAAAATAAATATACAGCGTTTCAGCTCTGTAGTTTCCTTGAAACTACCACAAAACTTGTTTTTCTAGAATAGTCCAGAATATTCTGACAGATCCGGCTAGAAATAGAGCCAATTGATTTGCCTTATGGAGAGCTATCGAATGTGATCACCTCCGTACGTGGCTTTAAAATTCGCCCAAAACAAGTTTATCGGTTTTACCTTCCGGTTTTTCGTTAACTAGTTCGTTTTTCGATAATCCACTAAAAATAGTTTTAATGATCGTCAAACCGTTTTTTACCCGCGCAGCAATTTGTCCTGAAGAAGGAAGGAATTAAAGATATAATTTTATATTAAAGGGTGACATATGACGTTCCAGGACTGTTCACACTGCCATTCCCATGATTTTTCTCCCCATCTTGTATGTATCGTGAATTTGGGGGCAAATGTCCCAAGCACCTGCCCCACCCATGGAAGAGGGTTGAAGGGAGAGGGAAGAAAGGTAATGTTGTTGAAAGACTCCCACCATCCCACAACATACAAGCAAACATGCATGACCGAGGCTGGATTCTAACCAATGACCCTTCGAAATGTGGTATGTTTGTGCGACCGAGATCTGCTTTACAGACTAAGTCTGAAAATCATAAATTGAGCGTTTCTCACAGATAATTTATTTTCGTTATTCCGAAACGTCCGTTTCAGTATACATAAAATTTTAAACAACGGTCCTCCTATTAGATAAAAATTTTGATTGAAAATTAAATAAAGAATATGTGTTTTTAAAGAATAATTCATACATATTATATATATATATATATATATATATATATATATATATATATATATATATATTCATTTCTTTTAACTAACTCGTTTTAGAAAACAATTACTAGGATTAGCATATTCGTATCTTCACGGAACAGTTTTATATCGTAATTTATTGCTATTTGCAGGTTACGATCGGAACGTTATCATGAATGTAAATGTCATTTTTTATCACCACTAGACTTATTCCTTAGGAACCTGTAGTAGATTTTATATTTAACTATCATCTAATATCGTTAGACATGAGTTTTAGAGATAATATTAATGAGGAAAACCACTGACCAAGCGAAATCAACCAAGAGTTTGCCAGGAGAGAACTGTGAACTCAAATTGCACCATTTATCAATACGTACGGATTCTTCTTTTCAACAAATGTTCGTTTGAAGAAATTACTTAGCTTTGTAGATATTTTCAACTCCAACTTCGATGCATTTATTATTTGTATTATATATTTATTATGGGCCAACGTTTCCAATTATTCGCAGGCTTCCGTTAGCTTTATAAAATAATATTTGTGGACAAATTATCTTTCCAATTACGATGGTCTTTAAATTACTACGTTCCGAATAAATCGTAATCACAAGTATTTATTCTTCGGAATTCAAGAGCTTCTCCCACATTGTCAGTGCGTTTTCCCTGAAGGAGGTAGCCTTATTATCGGGCGTAAATATCCCAACACCTTAATGTAACCCAGATCGTATTTAGAGCTGTGGTCGCTCGACACAATTGATACTCCTGCTATCTCTGAAGGGAAAAAAGAAAAAAAAAGAAGAAAGAAAAAACAGCAACAGCAAAATGTAACGATAACTTTAGACCATCCACTTGTTATGTAACGCGCGAAGGGAGATAGGGGATGGGTATTTGCCTACGTGAAGGCATTAGATTAATGGTGAACGGTGCCACCACTAGACTGTTGTACTCTCCTGAAGGAAAGGTCCCTGACGCCTTCCATTCTGGCGCAGAACCAGGCAGGTAATATATAAGCGGGTGTATATATAAAGAATATATATAAATGTATATATAAAGAACAAGCTTCGTTCGTTATTGTTATCTCTTATTATAAACAGATATTCAAAGCATATTTTATAATAAACTTTTTTGTCTTAATCGATCGCCTATAAATGCTATTTACGTATATGTTCGAGTTTACATTAAATGTCTCGTTATTATATTCGCTAAAATAAAGATTCCTGCATAAGATAAAATGGCTCGTTTAAATTTCGATTTAATGAAGGGTATTGCCGAAGATAACGTGACAACATTAATTAGAAAATGCTTGTAGAAAGAATATCGTCTCAAAAATAACAGTATGAAAATAACAAGTTGAAAAGGCAAAGGATAAGATAACACAATGTAAGCTCTATTGCACGTAGCTAAAATACCATTGTGTACTCGTTAGTAATTATACACTCGCGCTGCTGCCCTCGTGAATAATCAACTTACACTTGACACTTTTAACCTCACGTAATATAAATAATAATTATTACAATTGCACATTATACAATTTGTTACATCATACATACGTTACATTATACATTATACAATTTGTACGATGTATCTAATTCTCCAATATAAAACCGAAGAGTGTACGCATTAAAATATTTCTAGATCCAACGGGAGGGGGGCGGTCACTTGTATACTCTCTTTCTCGACTCCTCCACTGATACAATCTCTTCAAATTCCTAAGCCGACAGAACTTCCGTGACATATGACAGAAAACCACTTTCAGTCTTCTTGTATAATATTTTAAAATGTGTAAATTATGTGTTCACATCAAACGTGTGATTCTATCTTTGTTTCGAATCTCGAAGATCATCCATACGCGTGATACAACGAGATCAAACATTTTTGTAAAACGCTCATTTTACGTTGCATTATTTTGATTGGGGACTCGAAAACTCACCAAGAGTCAAAGGTGCAAATAAACGCGCACGTTGTTCATGAGCCCCGGAGTACTCCTATACTTAATTAGTTGAATTCATGATAAAGGATAGCAACGAGCGTTATTAACAAAATCCTATAACCAGAAATGATCGATCCCCTGTAATTCAAACAATTTTGTATCAGAGAAAGGAGCAGCAGACTTTTTCAAATTTTATTTTCTTCCTGTTCAATTCTTACAAGTAATTTTTTCAGGGAGTTGACTTTTTCTTCCCCCCCCCCCCCCCCCCCAGTAATATTGAGGCAAGATGCCAGCAACAGACTTGATATACTAATAGTTTGGTCGTCGGAATAACCAAACCTTCTCTCGCACCTAGCAAAATAAGGGCTAAAGTTAATGCGTACGATTGATAGACATTTTGGATGTGGTAAAGGGCTAAAATAATAGAACAGAAAGTGAGAAGGGCTCGCGAAAGGGAAGGCAGAGTGTGCAGCATAGACACACTAGAGCGAGTTGCCCGGGGCCGCGTAGGGACGACCTTGCTTTGCCTAGTGGCAAGGTATCCTGCCTGCGCTCAAAAACCGCCTGCGGTGCGGCGCGCGCACGTCCTTCCTCGTCCTCGCGACTGGGCGCGCATGCGCGGCGGAGCGTGGCGGGCGGGCGACGGCGGCGGCGCGCAGCGGACAAGAAGAAGAAGGAGAAAGAGAAGGAGGAAGGGAGCGCGCGCGCGCGCAGGTAGATGACTCGCGGGCAACGGAACGGCGCCGCCAGGTCATTGGCAGGGCAGCCAACAGTTACACGTTGGCCGGCGCGCCTCACCCGCCTGGAATTCATCTCGTATAAAAGTCCCGCTACGCGAGGTAGAGCCCGGCCACTCGACAACGGACTGCGCGGCGCAGCGGACCCGGCCGCCCGCTCTTCCCTCCGCTCCCGATCGCCAGCTGTACGTGGCAGTGCGCAGGCTCGGACAGTGTAAAGGCGAAGGACTCGCGAGTGCGACATCGCGTGTGTGAACGTCGAGGGAAGCAGGTGCGGGGTCGTGGGATCCATGGATCTTATCAGGCGAGACGTGATGCGCTTCGTGCTGCTGGTGCTAGTCGTGTCGCTGACGGGGCCGGCGGCGGCGGAGGACGAGGAGGAGGCGAACCCCTTCGTGGAGGCGGCCAAGGCGCTGCTGCAGGACCAGCTGCAGGGCAAGGGCGCGGGCGGCGGGCTGGCGGCGGTGGGCGGGCTGCTGCAGAACTTCATGCAGAGCGACGGCGGGCGCCAGATCAGCGACGCGCTGCTGTCCGCGGGGCGGACGGTGGGCGGCGGCGGCGGGGGTGACAGCGACGACGAAGCCCCGGGCGCGGACCTGCTGTCGGGGCTGGGTTCGTTGCTTGCGACGGCGGCGGGCGGGGCGCGGCGGCGGGGCGGTGCGGCGGGGGCTCGACCCGCAGCTCACATCGGCACGTCGTCAACATGTTCGCGTCACAGAGTCAACGACCCGGCCGACGACGCCAACAGAGCAACATCGGACGTCCAACAACAAACGTGGGGACCAGCGGGAAAGGCGAAGGTCAATGCGCCGTGCGCGGAAGCAGGCGGACGAGGGCGGGGACGGCGCGGGCGGCGTGGACTGGGGCAGCGTGCTCACCCTGGCCGGCAACTTCCTCTCCAGCCAGCATCACGCCGATCACCACCACGGCGGGCAATCGTCCGGGCTGGAGGGCCTGGCGAGCCTGCTGCCGCTGCTCATGCAGGCCAACAGCGGCGGAGGCGGCGGGGGCGGCGCGGGGCAGGCGCGCCGCGGCGACGTGGGCGGGGCGAAGCCCTCGCTCTTCGGGCCCGCCCTCGACGCCCTCTACCACTACTGGCTCCACTTCACGCACTCCGAGTTCGGCCAGACGCTGTGGAAGAGCAGCGGGCTCGAGGCCACGTCCAAGCTCTTCACGGACCAGGATGGGAAGTTCGACATGGAGAGGATATACAGGTCTCTGGAAAACGCCAGTTTCAGGAAGAGGTGGATTAAGAACTTGTCGGCCTTCGTTGCTGATTGGGTTGCTCACGTCTCCGATCCGTCCACACAGGCCAGGTTGGTATTACCGTGTATAACTTGTGAGCTATATTTATTATTTTCAGAAGGGAATGTTTCAGTGATTTCACTTATAAATAGTAAAACATGAAGGACGAGAACATTTTTCTTGACGACTCCTACAGTTGAATGACAGGTGTATTTCTATACATAATTTTAAAGTATGTTTAAACATTTAATCTCTATTATAAACAACCTTATTATTCTACATGTCATGACTCCTGTGCATGAAGAGGTGGAACGCTGCCAAAATTAACGTGACTCCTATCTTGGAATGTCAGATTTCAATTCGAGTATCATACAATCAAAGGTCTTCATTTTTTTACTACGTACATTAATGAAATTTGGGGTTATGTAGGGAAATATTATTTAATAATTACTTTATTCAAATACTAATAAACTTAGGTGAGTTTTAAGATCACTCAATATGTTTGAAACATTGATTTTGTTTTTGTATTTCATATTTTGGTAAAGCTCGCTGTTTTTAAAGCTAATCTCACAAATCAATTTCATTCATATGAGTTAATATTATTAGTATAATTTGTATAAAGTAAGTAAAAGAAAAGGAAAGCTGATATCAGTATAGCCAGCTGCATATTTCAGATCATCTCTCTGCAGAACATGACGTATGAAAATTCATGAGACTCGAAGCACATTTATCATTTACGGTAGAGAGCAATTACACTCGATTCTTAAAGTAGCCTATAACAAGCAACTGTAGAATTAAATATGTTATGCACCTTCTCATGTCAAGGCTAATTTTAACTACTTTACATAAAAGTGCATTCAATGGAAATATTTTATTTCAGCTTCATAATAATGTTTAAGTTTGTTTGTTAGTGTAGAAACTTTTTCGACCAACTGTACTAAAAGAAGAATTTGGGTTAGCGCAACTATAAGGAAACATTGTTTAAATTGATAGTCTAATCTACAATGGGGTTCGAGTGTTACCTTTCGTAGCCAAAGATATAGCTCTGCAACTGTCATTATCACTTTTTTTTACAAAGCTAGTCGATACTATACCTCTGAGATTAATACATAATATATAAAATATATAACATATATAATTATATATTATAATAATTAAAATATAATAATATCAATTATATACATTATACATAATATACTTATCACACTATAATTTCCTTTGTGTATACGTATCAGGTGAAACTGGGGCTATCACCAACTTGTATGTGGCCACTCTCTGAAAAAAGCACATTATTCCCGTGCTGCTTTACTTCAATCTCAGGAGCGTGATTTTGGCCTTTGTGTCCATCGTGGCCGAACATCCGTTCTGGTCCAGTGTATACCCGAAAGGGTTCTGAGAGAGTAATTAGCAGCAATTAGCGTTTCGTCCTGTCAGACTCATCAGATAGGCTTTCAGCATATGATGCTATTGTTCATTAAAAATTAGTTCCGTCGGTGCGGCAGGGCGGGACGGAGGGGGTGAGCGGGCGAGGGGAGAGCGGAGGGGAGCGGGGATGGTGGACGGAGTGAGCTGGGGCGGAGCGGGAGGGAATCTGACAGGTTGTTGCGGAAATGTAATTTTTTTTTTTTTTTCATTGAATACTTGGCTGTCTGGGGTGAGCCGCGTCTCTGTCAATTGAACTGTCGTTTTCGACCATCGTGTTGTGGTCTTCTTCAAAGCAATAATGCTGCAGCTGCTTGAGCAGTATAGCTCTGAAGAAACCACAACACGAAACGTCAGCTCGATCGACTGAGACATGACTCACCCCGGAAGTATCCAATGACTCCAGCCGCGGAAGCCTACGAATACATATTTCCATTGAACACTATTAATAGAACTTATTCTTTTACTTGTTTTTTTGAATAATTGGGTATTTTAATAATTAAATGTCGAACGAGCACATTGGGTTAATTCCGCTAATTCATAATTACGATGGCTAACAACAGAATGATTGTAATGTTTCAAACATGCCCAGCATATCGTACGGTGTTTTCGTATCTCGTGTGTGAACTTAAAAATATTAGTGAGCATCACAATAAGTTATATTATACGTATTTTATAATCGACATATTAGATAAAATTCAGATCACGTGTTATTTGCAGTATCAGTTAAACAAAAGAGAAAGTACTTCTACGCATATGTGATTGTGGGGACCTCAACAAATTTTGAACCACTTCCAAATTTGGCACGGATGCTATGGAGTGTTCGATAATAAAATTAGCTGAGTTTGAATTCAAAATACTACTTTTTTATTTGTAAAATAATAACAACAATAATAATAGTGCAACCCGCATTACATTTATGTATTAAGAGATTGCGTTGCAGCGGTGAGGACAGGGAATACTTTGAATGGTTCCGGGCTTGGACGGGTGACGAGGAGCAGAGCTGGGCGAGGCGAGACGGGGCTCTATGGGAACGGGGAGGGATGGGCGAGGGTAGACCGGAGAGGAACCGGGAGGACCAGTGAGGGCGAGTCTTGGCGGTGAGAGCGGGGCGGGGCTCGGCAGGGGCTTTGGAGCGTGCTGGTCTGTATGAACACGGCGGCGAAATAGAGACGAACGAGCGCACGAACGGGCGTGGCAAGGAATGAAGCCGACGGGAAATGGGCATTGGCGGGTGGTTAAAAATGAATAGTCCTTCAATTTTTACACTAAATCTGTCATTAATCCTCCCTCCCTCTCTCTCTCTCTACTCTCCCTCCTCTCTCTCCTCTCTCTCTCTCTCTCTCTCTCCTCTCTCTAATAAATATATATATATATATATATATAACGTAATACTGCAAAAGTTCTAATTTATAATATATAGTATATTATATTTTATAGTATATATTTTTAAAAAGTCATTTCTTTCCTTGCCTAATAGATGATTCCGCTAAGTAAATACCCGGGCAATGTCGGGTTTCCTCCACAAAATTCTTTACAAAGATCATTTGTAAAACAGACCAATTTTTTGTCATAAATAATATGAAGTAAAATACTGACGTGACTGAGCATAAGCGAAAAACTATTTAACCGCGAACAAGGAAATGTCCCGCCCAGTTTTTCAAATTCCGCTTGTGATTACCAAATCCGGAAGGACGTCGAGCTGGGTGAGCAGGACGTTTTCCGATGCGCTGTGGTAATGATTGTGATAACTCGTAGATAAAAATTAAATTTAAAACTAATGGTGCTACAAAAACACATATTTTGTCACATATTCACTCATATTTGTAACTTTTGAAATTTTCGAAAATTCAGGGATTAAAGAAAGTCTGATCTGCAAATTTTTGTAAGTGTACTTCGCACTGTTCGAGAAAAAATAGAAAAAAACATTTTGAGTCGTTTTTTGAAAAGAGCTTGTTTTTAAAAATTGCCTTTTTCATTAAAAACTATGCGAAAACTGCTAATATTTTCTTAAAAAACATGACCTCATTTAAAGATTTAATTTTGAAGAACACAATTTCATGAAGAAAAAAAGATCTCTATTTTCAATACTGTAGTCGTAGAGACACGTCAATTTTTTTTAACTTTTGCAATATCGGAAAATTAAGAGTTCAACAAAGATCATACCTGAGGCATTGTATTAACACACTTTGCTGTGTCTGAGACAAAATAATAATAATAATAATAATAATAATAATAATAATAATAAAGAAAAAATAACTGCCATGTGTTGAGAAAAAATTGAAAATGTCCTTAAGATTTTAAAATTTTAAATAAGTTTTTTTATAAATTTTTTATAAGATAAGATTGTTTTTAAGGAAGATAAATAAATGAAAATGAATTTAAATAAGTTTTAAATTGAAGGAGCCGCAATATCAGCCAAATCGATCCAAAAGTATCAATTTTTGTGAAAATACTGTCTGCGGAAAAGCAGCTAGCGTTGTTCACAGACGAACAGGTAGGTTGGCAGACGGACAGACTGCCGGACGGACGGAAGAACGGACAGTCAGACGTTTTGCGGTGAACTAATTTTTCGATATCAACTACCCACAAAACGGGAACGTGATTACACAACTTGCTAGAGGAAGTAATGTATTATATACAGAAACAAGGTTTATTAACTTTTACGGTGTCATGTACCCAGAAAACGATATTTTCTGTCGAAAAATTGCCCTTTTGCTCCTGCTAATTCCTTCACTGTACTACGTCAGTTGTATGCAAGAAGGTACAAATCAGCCAAATGGGTTTCGAAACTGGATATTTCAATTGCTCGATTCTCGAGAAAGTGGAATTTTTAACATACTAAGAAAGAAGCTGTAATTGTTTTTGCGTTAATTATTAAATTCTGATAAGCGGTCGGTCTCATCTTAGTATTGATATTGTTAGAAAAGCCACAGACTGCTGAGACTGCATTAACAATGACAGGTAGGAATCTAAACTTGATGTTTTCTGAATGAAGCATACCTTTCAATTGCACGAAAGCAAATGCCAAGAGTCTCTCTAAATTGCCTGAAGACTCATTTTCTTTAAGGGAACAATCTGCAACAGATCTAGTTGAATCGTGCAGCTCATCTTACATCTTTATTCAGAAATAAAAGATTAAATATAGAAGGCAATTTAGACATGGAACAATTTTAAACTGCTTTCTGTATTTTTTTACGAAACAACGCATGTTACTCTACGTAACAAAAACGATAGAACACACACGAACTATTTTCTATTTTTTTAGTCCACAAATCCCTTGCCTTTCAACTTCTTTAAAATTTGGATTTCCACTCGAAGAATATGGCTTTCGTAGATTTTTCCGGTCCCCACCAGGGGATGGTGGGTCTCTTTTGAAGCCAATAACCTAAATGGTTTTCGAACCCGGACGAAAGAGCTCCGGGATGAATGGCCTCCCCATTCGAGCTTTCTCCACTGACTCATCTCGATTTACACGTAACACCAGTGGCACACCAGGCCCGGAGAGCTTCACTCTTTCCCGCGAAGCTGATGACACATTCATAATCTAATTTTTTTCTACAGTAACGAATAGCATTCAATATCTTAATTGAATATTTTATAAATAACTATAAATCAACAAATAAAAATTAATTTTAAACTCAATGTAATAAAAACATCACCCATGAAAATGCAATTATAAGAAAATATCAATTCGGCTGAACAATACAACTATAGCCCCCTCCCTGAGAAAAATGTTGATTACGTTACTGCAAGGTAAAATCGTCTTTCTTTTGCTTCGCAGAAACACATGATGTACATCGTTCTTTCCTTTGTATACGCATTATTTATTTATTTATGAAAATGAGTTTCTTTCAAATAAATGTAGCTTATGTTATTGAGAAATGTCATTCCGCAGGTCATTGACTTTGAGAGTTGACTTTATTTATATCGTAATAAATAATTTAAAAAAAAATGTTTAAGTATGATGTGCTTTTGACATTTTAGTAGAATCGCGCCAGAACAACCACAAAGCTTCATCTATGAGAACGCTTTTCGACAAACAAATTACGGAATTAATACATTTTTGTGCAGAAGTGACTTCTTTAAACGTTTCAAAATAAGAAACGTGATGTAAGTGTATAATCGGCAAACTTAATGCAAATCATACTCTCTATCAATGATCTTCATAATAATAGTCTACAAAACATTTTACCTAGCTGCCATGCTATAAGATTCCAAACCACTCGAGATGGCGCAGTACTGTGTACTAGGAAGTGCCTGGCGCGCCGAATGATGGAGTTTTAAATCTTAAGACACTTATTTTCGCATTTCATGCAGGTTGTAATGATTTACCGTGGAGATGGAAACAAGTGCAGTGGGAAATTACAAAGTGGCTGTGGAAACGATGCCAGTTAAAGACATGCTTGGTTTTACTCGTACCCTCGATACAATGACGAAATGCTTGTGGCATAAAAATGAACTCGAAGGACAATAGAGAGATCTGTCCAAAAATGTTCATAGTAAATAATTTACAATATATCAAGTGACTCTCACCTTGTAAACTTGTTTTGTATTTCAGTTTAAAAAAAAATTCATAATTTTTTTTCAGATTTTTCTCCACTGCGCAATTCATGGGAAATAGTTTTTTGAAAGCCCAAGGTTATCCTAAGGCAGCACTTTTTGACCCAGCAAAGCCAGCTGAATCATTGAGCAGAATGGTGAATTCTGTGTTCAAACGGCAATTTAATTTAAAAATAAACTCTGCTACGTACATAAAGCCTGCCGTTTCTTACTTACAGGTGAGCTAATTTTGTGCCGACGATTTTTGTTTGTTTCATAATGATAGCCTCTACCTCTGTTTTCATTATTTGCGTTTTCTGTTTGATTTGTGCAGGAGGTTTACAGTCTTGGACAAGCTCAAGGTCTAAGTTTTACTCATCTTTCTTCAAAACAAATCGAATCGAAGTTGACAGAAACTATTAATAGTGAATTAATAGAGCCCGCACTAAGAGTGTGGAGAGCTTACCGTTTTGCTCTGAAAGAGCCCACATGTGATAAATATGTGATCTGCTTTGTGAATACGAAAGATGACAAGCTGAGCACAGGACTGAAGCCAGGAGTGACGAAGCTCAGCAGGTCAGTTAGCGTTTTGTTACTTTGATGTTGGCATATTACAAAATATATGCGAATCGACTTCGAAAACTTTATTTGTTTGTTCTAGTTTAATTGCATCCTGGTTCCTATCGGGCAATACTGGATCATCGTTTTGGGATCTTTACTATGCGGCAACCGAAGACCAAAACTGCATTGTGAGTACAAAAGACTGCGTTTTCTGAGTTCAATTAAATTTACGAAAACGGTGTTTCTACCATTCTTTCTTTCATTAAAATTATTTTGCATTGAACAAGGACGGCAAAAGGCTTATAAGTGAAGAACAATGAAATGCAGTATTTAGAACTACTTGTCTTTTTTGCTGTTGAAGATTCAACCTTAAGTCCATCACAAAAATGCATTTTATTCTTTCTATCAAGTGACTTTTCTTAGATCATGTGATAGACGTGATTTACCGTTAGGCTTTCTTGGTGGTCCACTCAATTTCTGAGATGGATTCATATCCGCGTTTTCACGCAAAACGCCCCTACCCACTTTTATGGCCACACCTTCCAACCGCATGATCTATAACTTTTTATTCCTTTAGAAGCCTCGGTGAATTCGATCGTCCGGAAAGTGTTTCATTCTAGTTCTCGGCGTTCGATAATTGTCAATGAATGTCAATAATTTAGTGAAGAAAATTCGACAGTTATTACGTAATACCATCATTATTGGACATTTGCTCAAAATTTTTGCCGTCTTCGAAAGGAGGTCATTGAATTTGTTTTGTATATTTTTTAAATGTTTGTTCAGTCATAGCTGTCGTTAATGAATCCCGTTTTAAATTATGTTTCCTTTGCTTTAAAAAGTGTTACTAATAAGTGGTGATAATTGTAAGATAATCCGATAGTGAGGTCTAAAAATATATGGAAAACTAGTGGCGCTACAAGCGCACTTATTTTCTCGTATCATGTGTAATGGTTATGTATTATCATAAAATTAGTTGAAGGAGTTCGTGTTTCCAACATACAAGCTATTTTCTCGGACTTGAATTTAAACTTTTGTGCATGGGCTCAGCAGTCAATACTCATATAATATTCATTATATCACCAACGCGAGTTAAATACACCAACGCTCTAGGCGCAAAAAAAGTCCAGATTTCATTATGATAAGGCCGATTTGATCTATCGATTTGAAAAAGTTGAACTTTTTTCAAACCTTTAGTTCACCTTAAAATGATCGAAATCTGTAGCTAATTTGCCTTTATTTTGAGGTTTTATTACATCGGAGCGAGTATTTTGTTAAAAATTTTTGTCAAAACGCTATTTTCATTCTTTATTCAGAATTCAACTTGTATACGTTTTAGGGTAGGGATCTCAGAATTAAGAAAACGTTCACAGAATACACTTCTCCCCGTAGCACGTCACACCGTTTTTAACTGTTTTTGACATAAGAATAAATTTTAAAAAAAACATTCCGCCATATCTGTAACTCCTGCTTATCACGCCCGCTTCCTCTTTCTGCTACCCACATTTCCTCCGGTCGGCCCGCATTTTCGCTCCGCCTGCTCTTCCCTCTCCTTTCGCACCTTCCGATTCACTACCTTCTTCCATTCACTCTTCCATTCCCCCTTCCCTGTTTCGCCCGCTCTTCCCGATCCCTTCGTTTCTTCCGCAACTCCCGCTCACTCTACTCCGCCCGCTACTTCTGCCCCATTCGCCCTTTCCGGTTCCATCCGGTCAAGGTCAGCCTTCTCTCGAGAACGTCCGGCATCAATGCCACTCAGATTCTGACTTAGCTTTCATTATTACAATTTTTTCATATTCATTAAAAATGTTTCTAGATACATTAGTATTAACAAACAGAGATTCAATCGTAAACACTGATTTTATATGTTCAATTTCATTGATACAAAAAATCCATGATGTTTTCTCAACTTGGAATTTGGAAGCTGACCTCCTTTCCCCAACATTAGGCAGAGGAGTCTCATCAACCCTTTATATTTTCTTGCATTGGTTCCTATTTATTGCTTTTTGCAACCAATGATTAAATTGTATATTTTGAATTTCATTATTTGATTGTCATTAGTTTTGTTAATTTTATTATCCACTAGGCTACTAAGTAATAACAAGATTTGTCTGACATTTTGGGTGCTTCTAATTCAAAATTTCCCATAATCATGTTGGATTTTGACCTTTTGTAGCAAACCTCAAAAGTAAACATGTGATAAGTTACCACCATTTACATCATATTTTCTTAATGATTTTTTGATTTTAACATTTATTTTCCAGGCCAAATATCCTGCCGAATGTAGTGAATTTCATGCAGAAGATATCAAAGCCACCACAGAATATGCTCATAGTGAACTCTGAAATGTGTGAAAATCAATGGGAAAATAGCATCAACGTGACTTTCCTAGTTCAATAAGAGTTTGTGGGCATGTTTATGAAAACTGTGTTTGCCTGAGTGTATGTGTATGAAAAATAAGTAATTTAAAAAATGCAAATTATTCAAGACTATTGAGAAGAAGATTGAATTAATGATCAAGTTGTTGCCTTAATGTAATGAATTTGTGTTGCACCTTCATCTATGCAAGTCAGTAGCACAGCCAGGGGGGAGAATATGGGGAATCACAATACACTAAATACACTTTTTCTTGATTAGGGCATGCATCTCATGGAAAAGTCTTTAATTTGCAAGAGGATAGGTTGGTGTGGGGATTACACAGTGTTATCTGTGACAACAACTACAAACTCTCCCTTTTGTTAATCTTGGCTCTGCTACTGATACACTTTCGCAAAGAAAATAATTTAGTATGTTGAGTGACTTGTTTTCAAGCTTTAATTTATAAATTCATTTTTAAAGAAATAGAAAATAGTGTTCACTTTTCATGTATAAATTAATCCTTAAAATCTTTTCCATTATACAGTTATCCTGTACATTTACAAAGTAGAATTACTACAAAATTGTCATGGATTTTTACTGCAAATATCATATAATTTGAACACACATCAGCAACTGTGATATTATAGATAATGCTTTCAACCATAGAAAGTTCTCTATTAAATTAACTATAAATGTTCAAGAATATCTGAATTACAAACATTGATCATTTACTGTATCTTTTGAAAAGAATACAAAACAGAAAAGCAATTAGATATACTTTCAATACAACACAGGTACTACATCAAGCTCTATTTTTTTAGGTTCAACACTTAATTTGATATGGTAAGAACTGGAGGTGTTTGAACTTGACAATTTCTTCAGTTAACTGCAAAAAATTATAAACTATACATACATTGCATATTATTGTAGTGAGATTGAATACATTGAATTTTGAGTGTATAAGATATTATTTATCACATTTCTTTTTTAATAAAATCTTTCTTATTTATTTCTGAGATTCAGTGATATGAATTTTACTACAATAAAACGGCACAATTATTAGTATATTTCAACAGCACTTTATTTTATAATTTTAATACAGTTCATACAATGATCAACAACCACAGAATTCTAAAAATATTACAAAATGGACGGATGACTAGTACAATAATACTGGGAGAAGAAAGTGCATCACACTTGAAAATGCTCCATTGAAATATGAAATAAAGTACAGCAACATTTTTATCTGTTCTGATTATAAAATCCACAAAAGTTTGAACTATGAGTATAAAAAATATCAATTTGAATTTGTAAATCTGGTAACAGTAAGGAATTATTCAGGCACATTTTTAATATTAAAATATAATATTGTAATGAAATGCAACCAAAAAACTCAACATTGCTGCTTAATAAACCAATTATTTGAATGTGTCAGTCAGTACCATATTTATATCTCAACATGGCAAATTCAAAATTTGTCTGATAACAATACATTAAAGTTTAAATTTGTATAACTGCAGACTTTATCACAATTTCATCAAGTCAGTATTTTTCAATACTAAAAGCTCATAATAAATATTGTACAATATTATATTCATATTGACTTGCAGTAAAATATAAATAAAATTGAAAATATGAGATTGTCTTCAAAGATCTCTGGTGTATTGAAAGCACTTTGTATCTTACTAATAATAATGTAGTGCAAATTGTGTGCATATTCCCTGTTCATTTTATAACTTGGAGAAAAACCAAGAATGCAAGTATCTCTAAAGGATCTTAACATCCAAATGCATAAATAATGGTGCACACAGAAGAAGACATCACCAATCAAAAGAATTTCATTTCTTTTTGACATTCTTACATACCCACTCCATTCCATCCTAAAAACATGAAAAACAGTCATATTTTTAATGAATATCCACATATGCAAGTAAAATTTTACAATGAGAGTAGTTAAATATTGACTTAATTTCATTTTTCAAAACTATAAATTTCATCTTATGAATGTACCATAGAAATCACATCAGGAAATGAAATGTTGCTGAGAAAATGCATATATATTCACCTTAACTCCTTCTCCTTCTGTTGCAGAGCATGCTTGAATTTGCCACGGTCGATCTTTAATTGTATGTAGCCCTAAGCACTCGGCAATTTCAGATGCTGGAAGGGCATGCATAAGATCTTGTTTATTTGCATAAACTAGCAATGGCACATTTGCAAGCTTTTCCTCCATTAACAGTTCTTCCAACTCATGACCAGTTTCCTCTAGTCGTTTTCTATCTGCACTATCAATGACATAAATCTATAAAAAAACAAAAAATTGATTTTTTAAATTACCTTAATATATCATATGGATTAATTTTTATAAATCCACTATAGCATATAGAAAATTATACCTACAAGAACATCTGTATTTTCAAAATAGTTTCTCCAGTATGGTCTAATTTTCCTTTGGCCTCCTATATCCCAAACATTTAACTTGAATCCTTCTGATTGTACAGATTTAATATTGAAACCCTGGGTGGGAGTAATGTGTGCAATATCTTCTGAAGCCAAAGATTTCAATAAAGTGGTTTTCCCAGCATTATCAAGTCCTAATAATAAAAGTCGGAGTTCTTTCTCCGGGGATGATCTTAGTTTTCGGAGTATAGACAGGAGACCCTGTAAACAAAGGATAAAATTATTTATTTTGTTGAATTCTTAAACATATTACATAAACGTTCATACCATAAATATTCATGAAAAGTAAGTTATTTGATAAGACGCATGACCTAATACGTGTTGTACAAAAGAAAAATGTATCACATAAACTTTATGTATAGTAAATTAGCCCACCATTGTAAAGAAACCGTCGAGAGATTTGACAGCGCGTCTATTCCAAGGCATGCACGATTCAAATCGATCGCAAAATAAATAACATTGATTGAAACTTATCTTCAGACGCAATGCAGTATTGTTTCTCGAATCGACTTTGGTCGACTGAAGATTAGGAGACGAGCCTTGTGCTTATGTACCATCAATGCGTATTTACATACTTAGAGAAACAGCGCTCTCTGGAATACTTATGGAATGATTTCTCCAGAGGGCGCTGGATGAATCCGCTGGGAATTGTCAGCAACTGTTGGCACTACTGTACGATGATGTTTCTTACTCTGGTTTGCTCTGGTTACTGATGCCCGCTATATTTGGAGCAATGTGGAGTTCCCAAAATGTTTAATGTGTTTGTTTCATTACGTATATAACACTGACGTCCCAATCTTCATTTACATGTTGCCTGAGAGAAGGACGTTTTTTATGGAGTACTGAAATGCTCACGTTTTTAACCCTGTGTGATAGATTGTTAATTTTATTAAGTGGGAAATTGAGGTTAGTTGGACTAAAATATTAATGAAATGTTTCATTTCGTAAATTTTCAATATTAGTACAAATAATTCTAAATGTTTTATGTGATATTAAGAAGGAGATTGCTTTTCCTTATCAAATGATACTTAAAAAAAAAATTAGTGCAACCAAAGAAATAAGACCCCACTTTTCTGTGCAGGTAATTTAGTTAGGTACTCTATATATGGACCAGTCTATTTAAGTTTAATTACTGATGAAATTTGGCATAATGAAATTAAATATGAAGTGGAATTGTTGAAGATTGTGTAGTGCCCTTATTTTTTGATCCATGGTGTTGTGTATATATAAAATGATCTTCTCTATAATTTTTTTCTAGTTTTAATTACAATTATTAGCAGACAAAGACATTGAAATGAACCATTAACAATGAATGCCTATTGGTGCGGCTTCAATGGATTCAATCAAATATCGACTGAAATTTCATCTATATCATCTTCACAATTCTGCCTTGTACCACTTAACAACATTAAAGATGTTGATTTTGCATGGGCTTGTGCTGTTGTGATATCAGGTAATATTATTTAGTTTACATTGGAAAACATACTTTTTATTGTTAATGAATTAAAAATTTGACTTCTATGAAAGATGATACGCAGAAGAGAAAAATCATAAATTAAGAAGTCATAATTATTTGTTATGTAAAGTCAGAAACTTCAAACAATAGTTTGTCAAGTGCATGAATTTTGTATTGCTATTGTAACAGCATCCAAAAACATTTTTTCATCAAAATGAAGTTTATATTTGGAATCTGTGTCCTCTGATTAAGAAAGATCAGTCGGCAAAAGAATTAATTTATATTATTCAATACTTTTAATTAAGTTTCATAGACAGACAGTGCATATATTGCAGTTATTATGTTATATTTATTGGTTGCCAAAGTTTTACTTGAATTTACAGGATTACTTGCAATTTTTAAAAGAGGGAAAATTATGTATTTATTTTGTTAGTAATATAAAAATATTGATTATTTGTTAAGTATACAAGGTAGTTAGGCATACCTCAAAATGTAATATACGTTTTCTTTAATAGAAATACAACCTACCAGCCAAATGAGTTTGACATTTTCTAATTGACTGTACTAATTCATGATAAGTGTATTTTTCTTTTATTATCATAACTTTTCTGTGCTTCTAATAACGATGGGAATAATTATTGTAATTTTTTAAAACTACTCTTACGTGTTGATTGTCTTTATTAGAGTAAAACTTGCCCAATGTGGAATCTCAAGTGACCAGTATTTTTTCTGTACTAGACAAGATTCTGCATTATGCAATGTAATACTGTAGAATGTATGTGTGTCAGGACTGCATTTTATGTTCACATTAGACCGATTTCCACAATGTTCATGTTCCGCATTGACCAAGTTTTACTGTACATTATTTTCTGTAATTTTTTTTAAAGAAACCATTGCAGCTTGTAATATTTATAAACTTCTTTTTTATTTTGTGTGTGCTTCAAATCGTCATTATACATATTTGTTAATATTATTGTACTATGCCCTCTGTCCAAGAGACCTATAGATTAAAAGATGTTATTCCCCAACTAAGTTCAAAGTTTTTCAGATAAAATTTTCATTTGAACTATTATGATTGTTCCATTATAAAATATATATATATATATATATGTAAACCTTATATTTATATAAAGTTTTAAACAGGTCATTATAATGTGTCATTGTAATATGTCAATTTAAAATTTTGACAATAAAAAATAGGTGATTGTCAAATAACATATACTTATAAATAAAAACACTTATTTCACCACCATTTCCAGCTGGAGATGCCTTTATGTCTGGTTTTGATGGCACGTCATCATCTTTCTTACAAAAATTAACAAAACCTGAACCCCAATTGAAGGTAAGTTATGCAAAGTTGAAAGAAAATGTTATTAGAAGAACTATGTTCACTTTTTTAAATTAATTTACAATTAATGTACATCATTTAAGAAGTAGAATAATGGGGGAAGTAAGAAAATTGGGACTTAATTTTTGTTATTTTATCTTTTAAATGCGTAATTCATTACATATTTCACGGATTACAATTTTTGTTTTTCATTGAAATCTAATATTAGATTACTGTTTAGAAATCATTCACAACATAAATGTACATAAAATATTTGGGAGTTCTATTGATTGGAGAATGTTATTTAGTTCCTGGAGGTTGCTTGTAATGAGACATATGCATTATTAACCTCTGAAGATGGCGAATGCTGGCAATATTTTTACAATACTAAGAAGTGGAAAAAACTTTTAAAATTCACTTCTGTTGAGGGAACAACTGATGATGGTATTAGCAGTAAATCTTCAGGATTATTGAGTTGTAATTTGGAGAGTCTTGAAGAATGTAGACTGGCTAAAGACAAGAAAAATATTGTTAAGATATGCTGTGGAGAAACTGTGAACATTGCTCTTGATAATTGTGGTAAGATTTTTTGCTTGTTATGTCATAATTGAATCATGAATTTGATCAATGTAGTATATTTCTGATTTACATTCTTAAACAATTTTTTTTCTTTGAAAAATGTAATTAGTTTCTTTGATTTCAGGTCAAGCATACAGTATTCCATCTCCAATTTCTATGACAGGAGTAAAAATAATGGAAGTAGCATGTGGGTTTGAGCACTGTTTATTGTTGGATGATATAGGCAGAGTGTATTCAACAGGATCTGGCATGTATGTTATGTTGAATGCTGATTCTTGGAAGATCTCTATTAATATTTTGAAAGGTCCACAGTGAGATTTAAATGTAATCTAAATTGCAAAAGTAATAAAGTAATAAATTTAAAAAGTTTGATTGTTAGGTTATTTTTAGTTTTTATTCAGTTTTATTAGTTATTATGTAATATTATATATTATATTTATTAGTTATAGTTTAACTAGTGGTGGTTATAGTATTTATTAGTTATAGTTATTATATAATATTAGTTATTATGTACCTATTGGATCAAGAACCTATTTTTTTCATATTTTCTCAATTTTGCTCTTTCCTAATTTCGGAATTGAAATACAAATTGAAGAACATCCTAGAAGAATGAACCCTGTTTTTATATGCATGTTTTCTTTAATCATTTGAAGCCATTTTTGAAAAAATGTTGCATGAATGCTTCTGATGATGAAAAATTTTGAGTTGATTTTCCCCCAAATTTTTGGAGTTTTCAAGAAACTTTATTAGAAAGTGTTTGAAGAACTTAATCAAAAAAGGCAATAATGTATTGAAAATACCTGAAATTAACAAGAGAAATGTATTAAAGAAATTACATTTGTTTAATTTTTGAAAATACAAAAATAATACATCAAAATGGAAGTTATATTATTCAGTGTACTATCTGTACAGAAAGTTTAAAGAAGAAAGAAGGAGAGGAAAAAAAACCAACCTGATTATGAAGAAAAAATTTCATTGAAAGTGTAAATCTTCAATATTGCAAAATTTGATTTATTGCCAATTTCACACTTTGGCAATAAAAAAAAAATTGGAGGTTGCTCTGAGAATTAGTCCTATTTCATCTTTATAAGTGTGTTTTCCTCTACTTTTACAAGAAGTTTAACGAAAAAATTGGAGCTGTGTTTGAGAAAGTTGTTCAAATGTCCCAGTTTTCTTAAATAAAGTACCTTTAAAATTTAAAGAATTCTTTTCAAAATCGCAGAGCCTTGAGTTGGACCAGATTGATCAGGGAATATCCATTTTCGCCAAAATTGTACCAATAGTTTAGGTACTATAGTTGATCACAGACAGACGTTTGGAAAGAGAATTAAACCACATTCTCAGTATCTGGGGACTCCAAAATGTTTCATTGAAATCTTGAAATTGATTTTTGCAGCATTGTTTAACTTTCTCTACACTATGTATATTACCCCTTATATATGTACATATATGAAAGTGTATGCATTAACAAAACATTTTGATATGTAAGGTAATGCTAGTTGCACCTTTTTGAACTCTCAACACTTTGTAAATACTGTAATAGTTTCAAAAAGTGAATACAACTTCATACTGGAATCGGACTTCTTATAGCCAAGCTCTGAACTGTGCATTACATTGTATATAAGTTCAGTATTGTGCATAAGAAAAAATTCTAAAATTACTTAATGTTCATTTGCAACCAGAAAGATTGACCTATGCATTTAAATTGAACTAAATATAAAATAGTCAATTTAATTCTACATATATTTTGTATATTTCTGACAACCTATATTAGAGAGTAGGTTTCCCAGAATACCTATCCCTCCAAAAATGTAACGGAAGGTTCAGGAAGGTCTTGTTTTCTAGATTTATGAGCTAAGTGATGTTTTGGAAATCTGTAAGGAGGCCAGAAAACAAGTTTTAAAGAGAAATTGTTTCTGAGTTGGGTTTTTTACTGAGTATTCTGCATGATAGTACAGTGTCGTGTGTTGTAAATTGTATATATACATAATGATTTCATTATATCAATAATCTACAAAATTCTTTTTTTGTCTTGTCTTAAATTTATTTGTTGCATCCCTTGGGGAATATGCTTTATTAAACACAGGAAAATGTATGGGATTTTGTATTGATGGAATCTTATTATCATTCTATAATCATCAAAACTGTAAACTTTACATTGTTTCTGGTTTTATTTCAGGCGTGGGCAGTTGGGAAGTGGAACTCTTGAAACAGTAGATTCTCCCCAAGAAATTGAAGCATTGGGTGGTCTCCAAGTCATCCACATAGCTGCAGGAGGATGGCATTCTGCTGCAGTTACAGCCAGTGGAGTTTTGTACACATGGGGATGGAATAACTCGGGTCAGTTGGGGTTTCCTACTGTTGAGTCAACCGATACTTTGTCATCTTCAGAACACAATCTAGAGCAGAGGAATTTACAGAATCAAACATCTCAATGTTGTTCTAATACACAGAGTGATTTATTGTACAAGGATGAAGAAAAAAGTGTAAACTGTGTTACCAAAGAATGTACCAAATGTGCCATAGGAGATTGTAAAAGCAGTGGTCCAGACGATCATAAAAATAAAAAGTTGAAACTCACTGTGCGAGAAGAGGAAAACAAGCAGAATGATAGACTAGGTTGTTTGCAAAATGAAGTGCATGGTTCAGAAAGTAGTAAAATATGTGAGAATAGGGAAGGTGGATCTAAAGGAGGTACAATAACTAATTACAAACTTACTAGTGTTCATATCTTGTTGAAAACTTTAATGATGTCTCTTTTTGTCTAAAACATTTCATTTTGTTTTGTCAGATTCAGCTGTAGAGCAGAAGGAGCGAGTAACTGTCTCAGCAGTTCCCATGCCTGTGGATTTTCCTCTGGGAAAAGATGTGGATGTTGTTGATGTGAGCTGTGGAAATCGTCACACCATTGCATTAGCAGGTGAAGTTATTATTTTATCTCTCATGTATTGAAAATGCTGAAGAGTAGATCAGTACCTACATCCTAGCTCAATACCACATTATAGAATCAAGAAAACAGGGCCTGCATATAATGGTAGCAAAAAAGAGCTGAAGAAGTTAGAACACTTTGTGTTCTAATGCTGCACTGATAAATTGGGAATGGATTTTAATGAAATGACATTTTTTTCTTTTCACTTTAGGACAATGCTGTTTAGTATAGAAATTCATTTTATGTTGTGACAAAAGAAATTAATTATTTTAATAGGTAATTTTCTTTTGTATTTTTTGTCAATTTCGACTAAGTCGTTGTTAATGCATTTTTGGCTGATTTCATTGATTTTAATATAATTTTAATGGTACTTGCTTCAAACAATATTTACGAGGTGCGACAAATGTTCACCACTGGATTCCTTAGTAGCTTATTCGATTTCTATGCTCGTTATAGTAATGTCAGCCACTGGGAGTACTATGTAATCTAAGGTTCCTGTTACACCCAGCAATGCCATTGTCAGTTTGACAGATTTCTCTATAAATACTGGCTGAGATTTTTTTGTAAAGAACAGTCCAAATCAAAAGATTGCGAGCTGAATTCACATGAACAAAAGGAAGAAGCTCTGATTACATCAGTGACATATCCACCAGCTTGAGTTGTTCATCTGAAGTGGTTAATCAATTTTTTACGTAATGTTTCTTTGTTTTTAGGGCATTTTTAAAGCGTTTAAAGAGCATTTTATTGATCATTTTTGGAAATTTTGTCATCAAAGTCCGCTCCTAGTGATAAATAAGTGAAAAGTGTTCTGCACTACAGCACCCTTTATTCAATTATAAATTATTAAAAGAGTATGGATATTATGCTAGTCATTACTTTCATGTTAACTCATGTCATTATGTATACTTTATTGTTGGTTATTGTATCTACACTTCTTGACTGTTGTTAGTAATACTTAACAAAACAGGTTATTTGCCAAAATATTTGTTCTTTTACTATTAATTATGTGTGCATGCCAATTCTAATTTCTGTTGTGGCAGGTGATGGCTCAGTGTGGGGTTGTGGTTGGAATGCATATGGCCAACTTGGGAAATCTCCTGATACTGTTGTGTCTGTGGATTGTATGGTAATCCTAGATATTCAAACAGATGAGAAGATTTGTAGAGTACATTGTGGAGGTTGGAATTCTGTTGTATTTTGTAAAAAATAGTTTTTGTTATGATGTACTATTACAGTATTAAATTTTATAGAATTACTTTGTATTTTTTTCTGTAGTTACCTAGGTTCTCCTGTTTCTGCAGCAAACTCCTTTGCAAATTCATTGCTTTAACCAATTTATTAAACTAAACATCAGGGGTGATTTCTGGCAAACAGAGCTATTGGTTGCATCATGTTCATTTTTCAGGCACATTTAAGCTGTTTTATCTTGAGGCTTGCTATGGTTTATGACAGATGTGTTTTATAGTGCACCTGAGAATGTTCTGGCCAGTGGAAAGAGAAGAGCATGTGTGTAGAATGATTTTGTTGATGCTGCTGCTTCTACTGCCATATCCATCTTATTGATAATAACATGCAATAAATAAAATTATAATTAACAAATTAGTTAATGAATAATAGGAGTGAATGAGCATCGAACTAATTTATGTATTCATACAACTCGCCATTCCTTTACTTCTTTTTCTATTTTTTGTTTTATCATTAAAACAAATAATCTTCCTCATTTTTTGTACCTTATGTTGGACTTTAATATTTGTTGAGGTTTGAGGTTTTATTTAGTATAGCAATTTTGGGGTCGTAGCTGCAACCCCTACCCAACCCTCACTACATGTTCAGTGAATTACCACTGCTGAACATGGAGAAAATAATAGAAACAATAAAATACATGTGATCTTTGGGATTAAATGAGAGGACTATTCTATTGGATTCGTTGAATGTTCACAATTTCCAATTTTCTTCGACATTAAGGGATAACATTGAACCCCTAGAAACCATAACTACCATGGAACTTCTCAGTTGTCTTTGTAATGTCTGATTTTTTTTTGAAACCGATTTAATGGTCCTAAGACTAATGTATTTAATATTCATATTACAGAACTGCCACTTTTGCAGCGTAATGGCCTCAATTCTGGTTCTCTCATTAGGTTATACTGAGAATCAGAATTTTACATCTAGACCTAAACTTAAAAATAGAAACATTTGCATCATATAACTATCAGGTATCATGATCTGATGTTCTAAATTGTTTTCCAAGTATGCTAATGAAAACATTCCATTTGACTGTTGTGCAATGTTGTGAATCTTGTCTGTTGTGCAATCATTTGACCAATCTTCAAATACCGGACGGATCCTTTTGAATTACAGAATTGGTTTGAGTGGAAAAGCAATAAAACTTAAGTTGTTTAAATTAGTGATGTGCATGAAAAATTCCACTGAATGGGTCTACTCATAAACAATATGTAGACTTGCGTATTCTATTTTTTTATCAGTGAAGTGGATGTTATGAACTTGTTATCAGGGGCCTGTACATTAAGTATTAATAAAATACAGACAAACCAGAATTTCAGAAAAACAAAACGCTTTTGTCTTGGGTAAAAATCAACCCCTACATTTATTCTATTTTTCTGTATTTTTTAAATGGCATAATGTGATTTATATGTCAAGTTTCCTGTTATATGATGCAGCTGTTTGATTGTTTTTCATTAATTTAAATTTTAATTCACAAATACAAATTTTAATATTGTTAAATATTTATTTTAAAATAAATGGTCATTATATAATATTACGTTGTTTTGCCGTCCTTTTTACCACTTAGTAGGTTTGCAGATCTTGGCGAAATGTCTGATATGTTTGTGTTCAACTTGCAAAATCCAAATAAAATTTCAAGTATAAAAACGTTACTAACATTACTACTTATCACAAATTTTGGGAGGTTATTTGATGAGAAATATTAAGTATTTCTTAAGCATTACATTGCTTACGTAGGCTATACTTAAGAAGTTACGTAGACCACACGTAAAGCGTAGACGTAAAATTGTAGTCTACGGCTCAACTCTGTTTTAAGCGGAGTTCGTCCTGCTCGGAGAACGCAGGGGCACGTTGGTGGCGGCAGAGAGTATGGGTGAAGGGGAAGTTGGAAGTTTGAGGGGAAGGCTTCGATGGTCAGGGGGATGTGGTGTATTATCTACCGTGCCCTACGTGTTTTCATTTTGTAGCATTATGAACATTTCGTGTTGATGTAGTGCAAATTGACGAAACTGTAATATGAAATTGGATTTAGCGGAAGTGGCAAAGAGAGTGTTTTCCTGAAAGAAAAGATTTTCGGATTTACGACGTGAGTTTTTCTAAAAGTATTTACGTAAAAAATGAAGCAAAAAACGGTAGGTAATAGTGCGTTGCACTGGCTCAAGAATGATTTATGTTAATCGCAATAGCACTTGCACAGTTTGCTCCATTGTCCTTTACACAGTTTTTGACATTAAATAGAGCCGAAAGTTCGCATCTCGACCTCATCTTTGAGGTGCGTAGAGGAGCACGAGCTTGGTTCTTAAAGTAATTTCCCTTAAGAATGCAATTGCGGTGTGAAGCGAATGAAACATGCCATTTTGTAGCTACTCTAATTGTGTGGTAAGGAACCGTAATCAACAACGCTGTTATATATATATATATATATATATATATATATATATATATATATATATATATATATATATATATCAAAAGACGAAAATTAATCAAATCAAACCCAAGTGGGAATGGTTGACGATTTTCTGTAATTTTATGGCGAGTTTACAAGGAGACACCCACTCTTCTATTCCCCCACACCAAACTTTCTTCTCTAAGGCTGTCCCAAACACAACTTGAACCCAGAATTGTTACTATGGAATAAATTCTATCCATACTATTTCTTTTTTTAACCTCGGTAAAAGTGATTTATTTGTTTTCTTGGTATTCCAGGATCCAGGAATTTAGAAATCGTCCTTTAATCATATCCTTATGTCATATTTGTTTAATTTACTGTGAAACATTAAAATTGTGTTTGCTTCTTTTGTAAGTAAACATAAAATGTGGTGATGGTCAAACATTTTAAGTGACTTAATCACCACATTACTTTCTCTTTGCTTATTTCCACATCAGGGATTCCCAACTTTTTTGTCCATCAACCCCCTTGTAAAAGTAGAGTTTGCTTCCTTAATAGAGCCTCTTAAGTTTTGGTCAATATACAGCAATCAACATACCCATAACACAAAAATGACTAAGGTATCAATTACATTAATACAAACTAGGCCTAGGGACCCAAAATTACAGGGGTCGTAGATGAGAGAAATAAAATACAATAGGGCCCAACTGAATGTTCAAACTTTTTTTTTTTTCATAAATATGAAAGGCATTTTTTAACTTTTACAGCTGCTGTACAGTAACTATATAACTACTGTACTACAATTGTGCATCTTCTAAATATCAGTATTTAATTCAGATTTTAAAAATTTGGATTACTGGAATGTTAATTTATAAATAATATTTATTTACACATTTATAAAAGAAAATTATACAACAAATAATAACATTGCTCGAACAAGACCTTTAGAGTCCAGGGGGATATCAGCATATCAGCGTGATCAGTATTCACAACACATGTGATAGCAAGGCTCAAAATAAGACGTGTAAATATGTGCTATTCACGTGTTGCGTTATGGGGCAGCAACTTTATTAATATTCTTGGTATGTAAAGAACAGTTGTACTATTTATACACTATATTTTGATATTGCAGTGTTCTTGAAGACTGTTTTTGTGGAGAGTGTATTTTATTACTTGTTCTTGAGCAGTGCGCGTGCTATTTTTGGACAACCATTCTTTGTGATTTTGTTCTGTCATTTTTGCTTCTGTAAACTTCGTATATATGAGAATAGCTGTAGCAAGTAAAAGTGACAATATTCCGCGAAGACCTGGAAAGCCTTCACTTCACGTAGCAAAACAAGGAGACATCGGACAGACAGTGTACTCGACTTTGGACTGTCGCAAGCTTGAGAATCGAAGGAGAGGGAAGGAAGAATAATGGTAGAAACAGGGTTTGTAAAGTCAGTCGTTAATCACCAGCTCTTCATTACAATCTATCCTATTTACGTGGTCATTAGTAGACGAAATAGCTACTCACCTCTTTAAACTGTCAAATAACATGATTGTTACCGTCGGAAAAAAGTTGTAAACAGAACGAACTGCCAGCGCCCGACGCGTGGTCTAATATTTATTTCTCAATTCCTCAGCGATGCATTCACAGCATTGGAGACTTAGTCATTTTTCTACATTGTACGGGTATTTATTAATCACAATCAATCTACCTCATCTGATCCGCCCTGCCCTCCTCTCTCCACTCTTGTTGCGATCATTGTTGCTATGCGCGGCAGACGTAAACAGATGCATTCTTGAGCACTCGCGTTCAGTAACAATTTTTGTTCTTGAAAATGCACTCGGTAGGAATTTTTGTGGGCATTCAGAAACGTCTAATTCTCGGTTTTCAAGATAGTCTTCATCATCATCATCATCATGAATTGAGCCTTTTGGCCCGATCCGTCTTCAAGAGTTTCCCTCCATCGCCTTATTTTTCTGCCCCTATTCCTCTTCCCGTTCGGATATAGTTGTGGAGGATTTTTGGCATTCGATCTTCCGGCATTCGAACTTCCTGCATTCTCATTAAATGACCATGCCAATTCTTTCTTAGTATGTCTATTTTTTCAGTTAGGTTGAAGATTTTAAATTCATCTCTGATGTCTGAGTTTCTTTAATGGTCCAGTATTGAATAGCCTGCCAAAGGTCTAAGAAATCTCATTTCCGTGGCTTCTATTTTTCTCTTATCTATTTTTCACATCCATAGGTTATCTGCCATTGTTTTGTAAAATTTACGTTGAGTATCTGTACGTGCTTTTTGCTTGAGGGTCTTTTGTATAGTTCCACCTATTTTCTGAAATTTCTGGATTTTTATATTAATATCATTCTTTTGACAGTATAAAAAATTACAACCGAGGTAGTTGAAGTTGTTTATTTGTTGAACATCTTTACCATTAATTACTATTCCTGTGCCTTTTACCTAGTACTTCATTAGCAGCTTTTGTCAAAACTGTTTTCAAGCCTTCCCATTCTTGATTTACATTTAAGCTGATAGGTCTATGATCCAAGTTGTCCAGAAAACGTGTGCAGTATCATTTCCTTATATTGTATTGTTGTAATAAATGGATTTTGAAATAGTGATTTTAAATGTTCTTACGATTTGTAAATATTTAATCAGTTTGGCCGAATTATTTATATGCGCTGCTACCGTGAAGTGAACTGAGAATATGTCAAAGCTTCTGTAGACTCGTGTATCGGTTACAAGAGGGGCTAATTAAGAATTTACTAAAATACAATGAAATATCGATTTTGACCTTCGAGACGTCCACGTATATTTGTGTATATCCTTGTGTTTGAAAATGCTCTTCGTGATTTTTAATTAATTGTAGGTCACAAAGTTGATTAGTATTTAACCATTTTCGTTCAGAGTCCTTTCGCTTGTACATTCTATTATTTTTTTTCTGGTTGGCTTCTAATTCTTGCATGAAAATCTCTGATATGAAAATGTAGTCTCTCTTGATCACAGAATTAAGATGTTTCAGCAATGTATTGTAGAAATTTACACTTTCTTCCACTATCCCCCCTTCAGGCGTGTATATCCCTAATATTGTCAGATGACTTCTAGTTGTTTTTAATCTTACGTTTATTATTCTTTCAGTTACAAAGTTCTATGAATTTTCTTTTTACAGGTCCGTTTTAGCAACAATGCTACACCGGCAGATGCTCTTGTATTTTGTTGGACCACACTATAAAATAATAAATAGTCTCCCAAACTGCTGCGTCTTTTAGTTTCTTTTTAGTTTCGGTTATTATACATATGTCTTCATTAATTTTCAATTAAATTCCATCATTAATTGAGGCACTTTATTATTCAACCCTCTTACATTCCAAGTGGCGATTTTCTACCGTTCCGCAATTCCAAATTTTCGTTTAACCTTATTCTTAGTAGTGGTCGTTTAATGTTATCAGTCTGGCTATTGTTTGAAGAATATCAGTAATTTGTATTTCCCCTGGTTGCGTTACGAGCGCCACGGAGAGTAAGATTTTCGAGATGGTATTTGTGAAAGATGGAACGGTCTTTATTAACCATTGCTGAACCTACAAAGCAAATAAATGTGAAAAAATGTGTTTCGTTAATAATGTCTCTGCATTCTTCTCCTCTACCAAAGAATTAAATGTAGTAGTTTTTTTTTTGGAAAGTATCAAGGAAGTTCGCATCTGATATCTTACTGTGGACTACAGTGAGTTCATTGCGCACCTCTTGACTATAAGTCGACATAAATTGGGCCGGAAAAGGGTTATGGGATAAGCCGAAATTATATTTAATACCATTTTTAGAAATTTTTGAAAATGCATAATCTACAAACTTGTTGAAAAAGTAACGTGCGTCGCAGTTAATTTAAGCCCAGTTTCAGTAATTCAGTAAAGCTATCTAAATTACAAAAAATATATAATTATTGTAATATTTTATAAAAAGGTTGAAATGGAAATGATTTTACAGTGTGATAACATACGTAGTGTTTTATTTCGTACAAAAGACGATCGAATTATCCTCCAGTTATGTTTTGTATACATTTAGAACGCTTATTTTTCGAGAATAAGCAAGGAAAACCTATTTTGTACTATTGAACCATTAATAGGATGACACAAATATGTTTAAAGGTACTGTATACTACTTTTTATATTTTTTAAAAATATTGCGACTGTCTGAGATATATAAACTTTCATTTTCGCTGAGGAAAGCATATGCTGAGAGGTAGATCGTTATTCGAGGAGTTCAATTTGGTAATGTCGGAAGAAACTGAGAAGTTCGAGAGCCTTCAGAGTGACTTTCTAGATAATACATAGCATATCCTTACCATGAAGATATGTTTTTTACATTAACATACATATAAAATTGATGTTACTGCTTTTCTCTGGAAGTTAAATGATTGCATCGAATGTTTGGGTGAATACGTTTTCTGTTGTATTTTTACACGTTTTGTTTTATTACACTTTTAAGACATTTTAAGAACCTTTAAACAAAGTGTGTTTGATTTGAGATAAACGTTTTGAATGATGTCTAAGGCTAATTCTGTTTTTGTGGAAGTCAAATTGCCGCAATTTTTGTGAAATCAGGTTGTTCGAAATGTTGCTTTGCTTAATATGAGAATTCTTCTGAGCATAAAGGGCCTCTACTGAATTCAATTCAATTATGCCTTAATTTATCTGGCAAGACTCGGGCCACAGGCCTTCATGAAGAGTGATTAATTGGACATTTTTTACTCCAATTTTCAGTGAGTAAAATGTCAGTGTTCACCATATTATAATTATGGTCATGTTTACTAAGGAGTGAATAAAATTTATTGTCTTCTTTCAACGTGAATTGTGGAGTGTATTCTCCCCACTCTCTGTTTCTTGGAAATGTCACTAAATGTCGCTTCCCCTTAGATTGATTCTGGCGTTGCCTAAAAAAAAAACATTAATAAACCATTCTTAGAATGTAATTGCCCACCTTCGTAGGATCAAATCACAGGATTCTTTGCATTTTGAAATCCAGTTACTGCTTTTAACGTTAACTGTCTGGAAATGATATATACCTGATATACGGTGTTTAGAATTAGTTTATTAATTAATTTCAGTTCATGTAAAATGTCTATTTTTCTCATAGATCACACCAGGATGTGGTGTGGGTCACATTTTACCTCAGTACGGTATGCATACAGGATGATTCAGTTCTTGTTGCTAATATTTGTCCCGGTGATAAGCCACATTAATATTCATGAGTGCAAAAGAGAATAGTGTAAACCGCATTCAAAATTAGAAAAAACGTTATGTTAATAATCGTATTTTGAAAAAAATGTTGCTCGAATATTACTTTAAATATTGTTCCCTGTTGCTATTATTGACTACTTATCTAACTAATTCGAAAGGAGAGAGAAACAACTATTAATTGTAATTTAGGATAATTTATCATACTTGCTATACAGTCAAAATGTAGCATTTTCACCTCGCGTAACAGGGACTCTCCCAGTGTTCAAAATGGCCTCCACTTCCGTGAGTGCACAGGCTTCTACGCCGCACGGTCTCTGTGACGCGCCCAACTATGCCGGGAAGTACCTTTATTTCTGCTGCCACGCACTCGATACGTCGAAGATCATCAGAACCCTCGACTTCGATAGCAAAAACATGGTCTTTCATTAACCCTCAGCTCCAAAAGAGTTGTGAGTACCTGAGTTATAAAATTCAAATACTGAAGGTCTCTTAAACGCTCGGGTAAAAATTAGGACCGAGGATAAATTTAACCCCAATGGCTACGGACATATTTACAGAAAATTACTCTTGATGAACTACACTGTGCAACATGCGGATTTTCTTGGCCCTCACATACAAATTGTGCACATTAATTGTGCCAGTTTTTGTAAAACACGCTTCATGTGGTCAAAGAACGGATTTCCTGGTTTTCTTTGCATTTGCGCAGGAAATGCCTAGAGAAATGAAAACGTCATAAGTGTCTACTCCGCAAATGCTGCGCTAGAAATGGAAAAGTCGTAATCTGTTGTCTGGGCTATCCGGGACGAGCCGCGCCACTGACGTGGTGGCTAACGTTTCGGCCAGCGTATTGTGGCATTCCTCAGACGCAACCAAGTCGTAATGTCTCCTCATATATTGTTCTCCATGCGAGGGACTGTGATGCCATGACCTCGCGCGTTATTTGCCTTTTGCTCGCTTCCGGGGCTTCTCGAAATTATTAGCAATTTAGTTTTCCAGAGAAGGGGCGTGAACTATCGCGAGGTAAAACCGCTCGTTCACTTGCCGTAGCCCATATTACACGATCACCAGGGCATAATTCAAAGTTTAACGTTAATTATTTACAAAACTAAACGACAAAAGGTATTCAATTTTAGCAAATTCGGTCTGTACATTATGTGTGGTATAAAGTCCCGACCTATCAGCAACGAAGACTGTATCACCTGTACACAATTTCTTTTTGATATCTTTGAATTTAACGTGATAACAAAAAAGCAGCGCCTGTCCGGATGGCCGAGATCGTTAAGGTAGCGATCTCAGACCGATGGTGTGAGGATTCGACTCCCACCTCGGGCATGGTTGTATTTGTGTTCGTCCTTTCACCTTCCACCCCCTATAAACACCATATCATGTCATCTTCACAGTTACCATACCGTTGAATGCAATAGTGGTCGCTAATGATCCAGATATATTGACGCGACTTTAAATCACAAACAAAGAAAGGTATCGTCGGAGGGGATAACCCCCTGCAACTCTGTTGCGCGTTTCAGCGTGTGACATAGGTGGCGTACATCCTGAGGATGGAAGCGGCCACTCCCGAAGTGCCGGAGCTCCTTGAAGGGCAAGTGCAGCAGCTGGTCAGCGACGTCGGGGAGCTGCGCCAGGAGGTGAAGAGCCTGCGCGCGTGGCAGCTGCGCGTGTCCTCTCTGGAGCAAGCGATCGAGAAGGCCGTGGTCACCACCATGCCCAAGCTGGACCTGCTGCTGGCCCGCGTGGAGGCCATGCCGCCCGGCAACGCCGGGTTGTTTCGCAGGTGCGCCGCGCGCCCCGACAGCGCTAGCGCCGCCGCCGCGGCCG